TTCCCCTATTTATAGTCTTTAATTGCGTGGTCCACGTTGCACTACACGTTTCCTATTTTCGGGTCCGTTTTTGTCCCAAAACGAATTAATGTAATCCTAGTTTAAGTTTAAATTAATTTTATTTGAACTTTCATTCAATTATAAGAAAATTTTATNTATTTTCCCCTATTTATAGTCTTTAATTGCGTGGTCCACGTTGCACTACACGTTTCCCATTTTCGGGTCCGTTTTTGTCCCGAAACGAATTAATTTAATCCTAGTTTAAGTTTAAATTAATTTTATTTGAACTTTCATTCAATTATAAGAAAATTTTATAAATTTTATTTTTGGGANCGGCTCAATTGGATCTTTAATCCTACTTTTCCGAGCCCACCCATCAATCACCAAGTATGGTGTTTGATCAACTCATGCACACACACACACACACCCATGTCTCATGCCCATAGATGCAATGCTTCCGTGCAATTGCAATGTAAGGTATCATTGGAATATCAATGTTACGCACCATATGTCNCATTCATGGATCTCATGCATAAGGTGTTCCAACCTTACTTAGATCAGTTTGTTGTGGTCTTTGTTGATGACATCCTAATCTACTCCAAGTCTGAGGAGGAATAGGAGGGTCACTTGAGGATTGTTCTCTAGACCTTGAGAGACCACCAGTTGTACGCCAAGTTCAACAAGTGTGAATTTTGGCAAACGGATATGAGATTTTTGGGACACATGGTGTCGACTTCGGGTTTAGCCATGGACCTGGAGAAGGTTGAGGCAGTCAAAAGTTGAGAGAGGCCGAAGTCAGTCTTTGAGATATGCAGTTTCATCGGATTGGCAACGTATTATAGGAGGTTCATTGAGGATATCTCCCGACTAGCTGTACCTAGGATGAGATTGACCAAGAAAGAGGTTAAGTTTTAGAGGGATGACTTGTACGAGAAGGCATTCCAAGAATTGAAGAGGAGGATTACTTCAGCTCTTATTCTGATAGTTCCAAAGAGGGGATNTAGAGGGATGACTTGTACGAGAAGGCATTCCAAGAATTGAAGAGGAGGATTACTTCAACTCTTATTCTGATAGTTCCAGAGAGGGGATAGATGTATACTGTATATTGTGTTGTCTCAAAGGATGGACTTAGACGTATATTAATGCAGTTCAAGAAGGTGGTGATGTAACACCCCAATCCCACTCAGGATTATTATAAAAATAAAATTTAGGCAAGCTTGTTATTAATAAAACATTAGAATATTATATTTAAAGAAAACTCATCCTGAAAATATTTATCTTAGGATCACTTTTTAAAATAAAATTCATACACACGTGGCACATAGGCCTGCTACTAGANACTCATCCTGAAAATATTTATCTTAGGATCACTTTTTAAAATAAAATTCATACACACATAGGCCTGCTACTAGGTAGTATATATATATACCAAAAATATATTTACAAGTGTTGCTTACATGACAAAGCAAAAATATTGATGTTATGTAGAACCCAAAAGTTTTTGTTTTAAAAAAAAAGACATAAGAAACTGACACGAGCCCTTCCCAACACTCTTGATTGGACTTCTAGTTGCGACAATGGACTGCAAGCTTCTATACAGTTTACCATAAAAGATTTCAAGCAAATTTTCAGTGAGTGCTCATTAATGATTTCATAGATAGAGCAAATAAAATAATATGATGTCCTTGCTCATTTATGGAATTTTAATATTTGTGATTCCATAACTTTTATTGATACTCTATTTCTTTATGCTACAGTTTCTATTGTCCGAATTTTATATTGACAATTTACGTGCAAGTATACACGATCAACAAATAATTAAGTGATAAGTAGAGTATCGTTCCCATGGAGAATTGTTGCTAATAATATCCAAGTACTAACTTTTTATCAATTCAATTTTATTTAAACAATTGGAATTGACTAAGAATTCACTAATTTAAAACTAAATCTAAACTTTAATAATCAAAGGTTGAATTTATCGGATAAAAAAACTTAAGATTACAGCTTCCCCTAATGCTTCATATAAATCTTTCTAACTCTATTTCCAGTTAATTAATCAAAATAAGTTGTTAACTGAGAAGTCAAAGTTATTTATCAAACATTTTCCGATAGTTAGATAAAATTATCTCTCCCAATTAAATAACTATATTCCTATGCAAAATAATTTGGATTAGATTCATTAAGTTAAAACTCTTATAAAAGTTACACACGACATATAGGTATATTCCTATCCTATACACAAACGCAGCTATTTAATCCGAAGAAGAATTAACCAGACGCATGTCATCATATTCCGATCTAACCTTAGAATTCATCTTCCAATTTCATCTAGGTTATCAAATTAATTGTTGGCCACACTAATCATATACCAAGCACAAAATATAACAAACAACTCATGTATGATCAATAGAACTAGAATCGAGAGTAGATCAATTTAACTAAACATCAGGTTCCATTGCAATCTTAATAAAGATTTAGTTCATAATGTAATTGAAAAACATCATTCTCAAATTAAACAACATCTCAGAAAATCAAGAAGTAAAATTAAGAGAAAATAATGAAAGCTTAGTTGCAATCTTCACTTTCTCTCTAGCCTTCGATTCCGATTTTCGTCGTATAGCTTCCTTTGATTATTGTCTTCAATTTTCTTTTAATCCTTTGGTTTTTCCTGTGTTAGCAGCCTCAAAATCAGTATATCTCTGTCCCAACTCAAACCCTAGCATATATTTATCATTAGGGTTCAATTTCGGGTCAAAAATAAGTCAAAATTCATGTCCACAACAAACACAAGCGCTTAGGCGCTGAAAAGGTGCTAAATGGACAGTATGTGGGCACAGGAGCGTTGGGTCTGCGCTGGCCTTTTTTTAATCCTTCAGCTCCCTTGTTGCTTAGCCTTCAAAAATCCAATACTTAAGCTCCAAATTGACCTTGTTTCCTTCCAAATGATCTTGTTTCCTTCCAAATGATGATTCCTACCAAATAACATCAAAACACACAAAACAAATAAAAAGGAACATAAAATAATTGAAAAGTTGCAATTTCATCAAGCCAAAAATACTCAATTCGTAGGTATAAAACCCACTCATCAAATACCCCCAAACTTAAATCTTTGCTTGTCCTCAAACAAAATACTAAGAACAAAAAAAACTATAAAAATTAACCCTAAAAACCAACTACTCAAACAATTAATCAATATGAATTTGAATAATGGCCCCAAAAAGTTACTACAAATAATAATTCATGAGAAACTTCAAACCAGTGCAAAATCTATTAATTCAACATACTCCTTAATTTTATCTCCGCTCATGACCCTTTAAATACATGTACATATCCGAACTATCAATTTAGTCATCACCCAAATATATTTACGTATCAAATACTTCATAGGAGATACTCAATATCAACTCTATGAACTTACGTTTCACATCAACCTCCGCTTATTAAGGTAACCATATAACTAGAAGGTCAAAAGATTTTTTTTTTCCCTCTCACTTTTTTTTTCTTTCTCTTTTCCATTCGTTTGGTGAGTGCATTTTATACTCCATCTCACCTTTTCTTTAACGAATGTGTTTATGAGTGNCTCCGCTTATTAAGGTAACCATATAACTAGAAGGTCAAAAGATTTTTTTTTTCCCTCGCACTTTTTTTTTCTTTCTCTTTTCCATTCGTTTGGTGAGTGCATTTTATACTCCATCTTACCTTTTCTTTAACGAATGTGTTTATGAGTANCATGGTTGTCGGCCTCCTTGGCATTGGCATAAAATTCTTTTACAATGGGGATTACGGCTGCCTCCGGCTATTCTGTGAAATCTAACCAACCACACTCCATAATCATGTCATGTACACACCCATCATACGTCTTATATGGGCGAAGGCCGCGTGCGGGAATCAATACCTTTTTCGCCAACCATGTGTGAAATCTCTCTGACGCCGCTTTGCTAACAAATCTCTTTTTGTCATATGGCTTGGAAGATTTAGAGTTTTCCCCTCTTTGGCATTTTGAAGACATGATGAATACTTACTTAAGAAGCTCCNATCAATGTAAAACCAACTAGTATGTCAAACTACAAACTCAACATGTTCATCAATTTCCCTTAAATTGACAATTAATTCCATTCATCATTGGCCATGATCATATTCAATCAACTCATTGCTCAAGTTGTACTAAAACATGCANGAATACTTACTTAAGAAGCTCCCCAACACCAAAAACTAAATACAAAAAAAAAAAAAAGAAAAGAAAACTATCTAACTAAACTTTGTTTTCACTTTAGCAATTTAACAAACACCTTGTGTGCATTGCCCAACTCTACATTAATACACCATCCCAATTAAATCACAAAACCATCTTCCACAAGCATTTAAACAAGTTTAAACTTTACCCAATAAGAATGGGTGAACTTGGTACCTTATGTTGCAAAGATTAATGTTGCCCATGGAGAATGAAGAAATCCTTGGTGCTAGTTGAGAGTTAGGGTGTATGTATTTTTAGAAGTATNATGTGCATCTCAACAACTAGCCTCTCCATAGGTGATTGGGATGAGGTAGCAGTTGGCTAAGGAGCCCTTGCTGGTTCACCAGAATTCTGAGGCATATCCACCATAACATACCCAGCACCCCTATGATCAGAGAAACCACCCTNATGACATTTTTGGGAGTGGTAGGAGTTGATTTGGATGGCTTGTTGTCCATTTATGTCGACCAATTTTGGTTGTTTATGATGCTGAAATTTAGGGATTGGAGCAGTTTCGGGTGGTTAGAAGGCTGAAATTANCTTGGTGCTAGTTGAGAGTTAGGGTGTATGTATTTTTAGAAGTATGACATTTTTGGGAGTGGTAGGAGTTGATTTGGATGGCTTGTTGTCCATTTATGTCAACCAGTTTTGGTTGTTTATGATGCTGAAATTTAGGGATTGGAGCAGTTTCGGGTGGTTAGAAGGCTGAAATTATGAGATTGGAGCAGTTAGGGCATTTATAAGGCTGAATTTATGTGTTTTGAAGCTATTTGCAAGTTGTTGGGACAGATGGGGCGCGACTAGGTGCTGGATCTACGCTGGGTAAGCAAAATCTAGGCGATGGGGCGTTGATTCTGAGTTGGATCAGTGCTGTTAGGGCAAATTGTGGGCGCTGGAACAACGCTGGGTAGGCAGTTTGTGGGCACCTGGGCACTGGATTAGCGCTTGGCTCCTTCTTTCCATCTACTTTATTTTCTTTGGCTTCTCTTACCTTGTTCAATCCCCAGTACCTACAAGCAATGGACACACTAATGAGAAATGCACTAATAATCTAAAAACTAAATTGATATAAAATAAAATAAAATAAAAATTAAAAGCTAAATTTTTGGGTTGCCTCCCAATTAGCGCTTTGTTTAAAGTCATCAGCCTGACTACTCCCTATTGTCATTATGAATCGGAGAGGGTGATTGAGGTCTTTTGACGATCAACGTCGCCACCCCAATAGTGCTTCAATCTTTGCTTATTGACCTTAAACATTCTCTTCAAGTTGGGTTCTTCACCTTCAACTGCTCTATGCGGGAACACTTTAGTAACCATAAATGGTCCTGACCACTATGATTTGAGTTTTTTCGGGAAAAGTTTTAACCATGAATTGAACAGGAGTACAGCTTGTCCCNTGCTTCAATCTTTGCTTATTGACCTTAAACATTCTCTTCAAGTTGGGTTCTTCACCTTCAACTGCTCTATGCGGGAACACTTTAGTAACCATAAATGGTCCTGACCACTATGATTTGAGTTTTTTTGGGAAAAGTTTTAACCATGAATTGAACAGGAGTACAGCTTGTCCTGGTTTAAACTTTCTCTCAATGATCTTCTTATTGTGCCATCTTTTTATCTTCTCTTTATAAAGCTTGGCGTTCTCGTATGCTTGGAGACGAAACGCATCCATCTCATTCAACTACAAGAGACGCTTCTCACCCACTACATGCAAGTCAAAGTTAAGTTTCTGAATAGCCCAGTATGCACTATGCTCTAATTCCACTAGCAGATGACAAGCTTTGGCATACACAAGCCTATACGGAGACATCCCAATTGGTGTTTTATATGCTATTTGATAGGCCCACAAGGCATCATCTAGTTTCTTTGACCAATCTTTTTGGTTGGGATTAACAATTTTCTCCAAAATCCGCTTCACTTCTATATTCAAAACTTCGGCTAGGCCACTGGTCTGGGGGTGATAAGTTGTGGCGACCTTATGGGTGACTCCATATTTAGCGAGAAAGGCTGCAAAATATTTATTACAAAAATGCATACCTTCATCGCTAATGATTTCTCTTGGTGTACCAAACCTAGTGAAGATGTTTTTTTGGAGGAAATTTAACACCACCTTTGCATCATTGGTAGGCAAAGCAGCTGCTTCAACCCACTTTGAGACGTAATCCACTGCAAGTAATATGTAAAGATTATTGTAAGATGATGGAAATGGGCCCATGAAGTCTATACCCCATACGTCAAAGATTTCAACCTCCAAAATATTGTTTAATGGCATCTCATGTCGCTTAGAAATATTTCCAGTTCGTTGACATCTCTCGCACTTTAAAGCGAAAACATGGGCATCCTTAAATAGAGTTGGCCAATAAAAACCTGATTGAAGGACTTTTGCTGCTGTTCTCTCTCCCCCATAATGCCCTCCATAACATGATGAGTGATAATGTTGCAAAATTCCTTCGATTTCTTCCCTGGGTACACATCTGATCTACACATTGTTTAAGTAGGAAAGGTTCATCCCAGATGTAATGCTTCACCTCGTGCAAGAACTTCTTCCTTTGTTAGTTGCTCATTTTAGGGGGAAACACATGACTCACTATATAGTTCACATAATCTGCATACCATGGTGCTCCTTCTAAAACATAAAATAGTTCCTCATCCGGAAAGGATTCATTGATCATTACATCATCACCCTTTTGTTGTACGGTTTTGTGAACTCCCACATTCGTATTATCAAATATAGCAACGTAATTATATTTTTAAAATGCTAATATACGTAATGAAGTATGCATGAACTAAGTAGATGGTAAGAGTAGAGATAAAAATGTTAGTAGTGTAGAATCGGGCAAATATTTAGTTCAAACTTAGTTTTGAATTGTAATTATATCAAACTGTTTGCAATAGAACTTATACCAATTATGTTTGATGTACAAATGTATGTTGCATAAGTTTGGGTTGGTTTTGGAAGGGTTTGAAATGAAAAATAGAGGAAATAGGTAAATCTGGACAGGACCTACCGGTAGTACGCTGTCTAGTGGATCCGAACTACCGATAGTCAACAGGTAGTAAATTTCTAGTAGATCCGAACTACCAGTAGTGAATAGGTAGTAAGTTACAAATGGATCCAAACTACCGGTAGCTCAACAGGTAGTAAGTTGCCAGTGGATCCGAACTATCGATAGCTCTATACNTGGCCAATAAAAACCTGATTGAAGGACTTTTGCTGCTGTTCTCTCTCCCCCATAATGCCCTCCATAACATGATGAGTGATAATGTTGCAAAATTCCTTCGATTTCTTCCCTGGGTACACATCTGATCTACACATTGTTTAAGTAGGAAAGGTTCATCCCAGATGTAATGCTTCACCTCGTGCAAGAACTTCTTCCTTTGTTANGATCTACACATTGTTTAAGTAGGAAAGGTTCATCCCAGATGTAATGCTTCACCTCGTGCAATAACTTCTTCCTTTGTTAGTTGCTCATTTTAGGGGGAAACACATGACTCACTATATAGTTCACATAATCTGCATACCATGGTGCTCCTTCTAAAACATAAAATAGTTCCTCATCCGGAAAGGATTCATTGATCATTACATCATCACCCTTTTGTTGTACGGTTTTGTGAACTCCCACATTCGTATTATCAAATATAGCAACGTAATTATATTTTTAAAATGCTAATATACGTAATGAAGTATGCATGAACTAAGTAGATGGTAAGAGTAGAGATAAAAATGTTAGTAGTGTAGAATCGGGCAAATATTTAGTTCAAACTTAGTTTTGAATTGTAATTATATCAAACTGTTTGCAATAGAACTTATACCAATTATGTTTGATGTACAAATGTATGTTGCATAAGTTTGGGTTGGTTTTGGAAGGGTTTGAAATGAAAAATAGAGGAAATAGGTAAATCTGGACAGGACCTACCGGTAGTACGCTGTCTAGTGGATCCGAACTACCGATAGTCAACAGGTAGTAAATTTCTAGTAGATCCGAACTACCAGTAGTGAATAGGTAGTAAGTTACAAATGGATCCAAACTACCGGTAGCTCAACAGGTAGTAAGTTGCCAGTGGATCCGAACTATCGATAGCTCTATACGACTTACCGGTAGACCATTAAAAAATTGGGATTTTTATGTTTTAAAACCCCATTTTTACTCCATTTGCTCCCATTCTTTCACCCCACTCTCACCCCAAACCTCTTAGAACCCTAATAGAAAGACTTAGAGAGGAAAAGAGAAAGGGAAAACAAGAGTTCTAAGGGTAATTCAAGATCAAATCTTCTTGTCATTCACACCAAAGCCAAGGAGAAAGGTAGGGATTTTCTTCCATTCTTGTCCATTGATGCTAGGGCTAATATATATGTATTTTTTTGACTCCTAATCATATGTATTTGTTATGGGTTCTTTCTTTCTTGGTCCTCTTACAAATATTACCATATTTTATACCAAGTTAGGGTTGAATACCCATGAAATCTCTTGCTCTTGCTTTAAAACCCTAGTTTTTGGGAAATATGGGTTTCTCCCTCTACTTTCACTTAAATTTAGTTTTTAAAACTTTAGTGTTTTANTGAAATCTCTTGCTCTTGCTTTAAAACCCTAGTTTTTGGGAAATATGGGTTTCTCCCTCTACTTTCACTTAAATTTAGTTTTGAAAACTTTAGTGTTTTGTGTTGAGCATCAAAATGATATTGATGATGATCTCTTGCATTTTCTTCAATTGTTTTATTGAAATACTACATGTGAAATTGGGGATTTATGGAATTGTTAGTTATTTGAGGAAATTGTTGGTATTGTATCTCTTGCGTGGTTGTTGGATAAACATGGGCTACTATTGACCAGGTATCGTAGAGTGTGTAGACGCCTTCTTACTCCGTGCAGGTTTGAACTTTTCCTACCACTCGTAGTGGGGTTAGTTCCTTGCAAGGACTAAACCATTATCGCTCACGGGATATCGTGGAAAAAGGGTTAGTATACTACTCTTGGGTTGGATACGTCACTGCCATAGTATTGGCATACGCCCTTCTTAAAGGTTAGATATCCTTGTGAGGATTTATATGGGTTATACGTGGGCACGTGGGCCAGGATATTTTCGATGGTATTCATGCGAGCTCTTACCNCTTTTCCTACCACTCGTAGTGGGGTTAGTTCCTTGCAAGGACTAAACCATTATCGCTTACGGGATATCGTGGAAAAAGGGTTAGTATACTACTCTTAGGTTGGATACGTCACTGCCATAGTATTGGCATACGCCCTTCTTAAAGGTTGGATATCCTTGTGAGGATTTATATGGGTTATACGTGGGCACGTGGGCCAGGATATTTTCGATGGTATTCATGCGAGCTCTTACTTCAGACCAGAGATACGAATACAGTGGTGGGTTATTGTTCATTGTACCAGAAATAGTTTCTACAAGAATTTTGGGAAGTATGGGATTTCGCAAGAACTTGGGAGAAATGGTTTATGGTGGAATGGATTATTAGTTGTATATTGGTTTCACTTATGCATTAAATTACTATTGTTGCATAAATTTGAGATATGTTTAAATGTCCATATTTTATTTCAAAAATTAATATATGATATTTGCAAAATGAGACCGACTAGTTTTACATATTTTCTAAACCTTGTTCGAGTTTAGGAGGAATGTTGCTACAGAGCTTAGTGCTCACCTCTTACAAACTATATTTTTCAGATTGTGGTCTAGAGGAAGAGCTCGAGGTTGAGGAGCTGACACATTGGGAAGCTCCACTAGACGGGCTCATGAATCCCAAGGTGGATGTCTAGAGTTATACTCTCCTAGGTGCTACACTAGGAAATTTCTTTTGAGATTATGTAAAGACTAATCTTTTGTTATTCCACTGCAAGTTTAAATGTGACTCTTTTGGGATGTAATTATCATAGTCGATCACATTCTTTTGGGATATAATGGCCATAGTTGGCCTATTCTTTTGGGATAATATTGTAAATGTTATATTGGATGAATGAAATTTCTTTAATGATAAAATTATTTAGTTGCTCTCATG